ATGTAGTGCGGGGACGCTCTACACTTCGTCTACCGGCACAGGGCTGCCAACCGAGAACCTTCCTTCCCCATCGGTTGTCGGATCTTTGAGCTATAATGCCGACCCTATTCCACTTCAGCCTATAAAAATACTATTTATATATACCCCTCACCCTGCACTGCTATTTTTCGGAAAAAACAAAAAAAAGATCGTGGTACTTACCCAGACGGGTATGGCACAAAAGGAGTCAAACCAGCTAGTAACTTGTGTTCTGTATTCGAAACTCAATTCCAAATATAAAGGCGAGAAACCCTTCATTTTGTCGGTTACTATATCATATTCATAACCACTTCAACCTTACTATCTTTATGGGCCTGCATTTGCAAGGTCAGCACAGGAAAATTTTTTAATTTTTTCATAGTAATTGTCTTACCTACCTTTACATTTACAGTCTATCTAAAGACCACTGCTCATATAGGCCTACCCCATTTCCTCATAGGAGGGATATTTGTCATAGTTGCCACACTTGGCAATCTGGTTGGCAAATGTAGTTTATTTTTGTTCAGCTGCTATTGTTATTCTCCTGGTTTAGTTTCCTTTAATCGCCTCTTTATAGCCACTACACGCAAATAGTCTATGAAAATCAAATCAATGCAATAACTAAACTACATTTTTTTCATTCTGTGGAAATCTATTTTATTTAATTAATAAACAGTACCTACGTTTCAAAATATACCGAAACGCTTAGCTTCGTTATAGGTCGTTGACTTCGTTTGCATAAAAAAAAGCAAATTCAGAACTGCAAGCTGGGTCCATTAATATTAATTAGGCTTAACACGTTTGTAGCAGTAAATTATTCCGTTTCTTCATAGCTGCAATCATACTTCAAGATCACTAATTGACTTTTCGCATCTTATGTTTGTTTCAGACACAGTGAAGTGTCATTTCTGTACTTATGTAATTAAAATTAGTTTTGCTTATTACCGTTGTATTAGCGGTGTAAGTGTATCCCCACGTGGCGTAAGAGGCGACAAAGGGAACTAATCAGTAGATGGGCACCAGCGTCTTCCTAATAACTATTAATAATATGAAAATTACAGTTGCCAACCCGTTTGCCGTGGCTATATCATCCCTATGGCATATATCCCCCCTATGAGGCAATCTATGGGGGAGTTTGGCGGTGGTAGGAAAAGGGAAGATCTCCCGCCGGGCAAGGTGTTCTGCCAAGGGAGCGGCCAACACTCCGTATAATAGTTTTTTTTTTGCGCCCGAAGCAAATATGGGCAATCCTCCGGAAAGCGGGGGAGGGAGGTGGGGAATGCTCATAGCATACCACGCAGCCGGCTGCGTGGTTGTGTGGAGACTTTTACCCACTAAACCCCATCTTTAAGGATTGGCTTACCGATCTGACGAGAGATCTCTAGCCGTATACGAACGCGACCCTCCTTGGCAGAAAGGAGGGCGCAGTATAATAGTTCGAAGCTATTCTATATATACTGTTTTTGATTCGGAACTTTGATAGCGCGATTTAGGCTTAAAGGTAACGGTTTTGATTATTAGAGTAAATCTATTAATTATTATGATCTTTTACTTACTGGGGTTACCATCTATTATTTTGTTTCTGTTTGTAATTTAAAGATTTTTTTCTGACATTACAAATGGCTAAGGAACTACAATTGATAAGTGGCTACTACAACCTATCGGTCAACACTTCATCATAATCATCATCCAGTCCACTACTGAACATAGGCCTCCCCCAAGGAATGTTACAAAGCACGGTTTTGAGCCATCTGCATCCATCGACTTCTTGCATGTCTTTCCGTCGTCACTCCATCTAGTCTAGGGGGGCACCCCACACTTCGCTTACCGTTGTCACTTGAGAATCTTTCTTCACCACCATTTGTCTGTTCTTCGAGCTATATGGTTAACACAAAGCTATATGGTTAACACAAATAGCCAAGAAACAATGTTGCGAATGCACTGCCACCACTACGGGATTAGACGGCGTGTCATCGCCTATAAACTTTCCCTTTTCTTTTAAACCGGAATACAACAAGGCGTACGCTGTTGTTTACTTATTGGAAAGATAAATTTTACCACATAGTAAATATTTTATACAACCTGTTATTAACTATACACATTGAACGATATAAATTGAACCTGTTTCTAGTATCTTGAAATTCTTGAAGTTAATAGAAGTATCCTTGGTAGGTAGGAATCGGTGTACTTAAGCAAAAATTTGTGAGCTAAAAATCTAATGTTATGCTTTGTGAAAATTCCCTCTAGACATTGTTCACAAGGAAAAAAATCTAGCGATGATCACTATTTGAACATAAGCCAAGACTTGTTTTTTAATCAACGTCTGATACACCGAACATCGTCTTTCGTCAAACGTTCTTGGCTCTTAAATTATCAAAAGTGATTTTATTGTTCCTGATCTCTTTGGATTTTTTTTTATAGGATTAGGGTGACAAACGAGCACACAGTCCATCTGATGGTAAGCGGTTGCTGTGGCCCATAGGCATCTACATCTATCCTCGATTACGAATCAAAATGCAGATGCATTGTCACCCGTGAGGACTAAGATGGGATGCCTCGTTTCCAGTAAAAAGGGTCTCCGGTTCTCTACACTCACCATACGAAAAACAGCAGCATTTAGCTACTATTTTACGCTGGTATTCTGTGAGAGCGCTGTCCTTCCCTGGTCGAGCCGACCCATTCGTGCTACAACTATACTTCTAATATAACTGTCATATGGCTCTACCACGTATAAATTGGTATTTTTTTTTAAATAAAATTAAAAAAAACTGGCAAATTAACGTCCGCCGTGATTGTTGTTGTATGTCCGAAGATATCAATACCTGATCAAATGTGTGGCGGACATAAAAATATAACATTCAAGCTTGCTTCTATACGTAAAGCTTGATTCAAACCTCATGAATACGTTTGAAATGATGAAGTAGGCTTTCTCTAAACTTAAAATATTAAGTGCTTGATTCAAGCTGCAAGCAGTAAAAGAAGTATATATTTTTAACCATCACATCTTTAAAATTTTAAACAAACGTGGCTTTTTGTTCAAATGTATTCGTTGAGTACACACTCAGAGTACATTAACAAGAAAATCTTTTGCCTCTAAACTTATTAGAGACCCACTAGTTAGAACGTCGTGTCGTAACAAGCTTTTGTGCAGAAAATTGTTCATTCATCTACCGGCTGCTACCAATTTATTCCTCATCCTCGGCTCAATATTGAATTACTCGATCTACTCGGACAATTGCGTATGCTCCAAGTTACGCGCTGATGAAATTTGTCAATAGAATTTTGCTATTATTACTGGTCTTCATTTTAAGGATACGGTCCGTATAGTACATTTTTGTCGTGTACTGTTGTAGTTTACCCTGTCTATAAAAAAATCTTTCTTATTCCACTTAGGTTTTCTAGAAGTAGATGTGTTGCCTTTGGTTTCTCGCTATGTTTGGCCAATTTAATTTTGTGATTTATTTTCCTTGGTGTGCAATATAGAGTGTGATGTGTTACGTGTATCATGTTGTAAAGCTACGGCTTTTAGATATATCGTCATTTTTAAAAGTATATAATTTTAACATATCAATATAATCCAAAAAGGTTAAGCATAATATATTTTGGATGAAAAAGTAATAATCAGTCTTAAACTGAAACTCATGTCAGTTTAACAAACTATAATATTGAAAAAAAAAATACGTGTGGCACTCGGTGACTGCCGCGGTAAAGCTATTGCATAGCATTTTTTATCAACTTATGCAATTACAATTATTTATTTATTTTATTTATGCAGTTAAGTCTTTGATATTAAATCAAGTTACACTTTTTGAGCGTGGTGACGGATAAGAAAACAATTTTTTTTCTCTTATTGAATAAATGAGAAGTTAATATTGTTTAAAATATTTTTAATATCTTACAATACATGTAGGTTATTCAGGAATTTTTATCATTGAGTTAGCAGCTAGTGTACACGCACACAAACGCCTCGGGCCGTGCCGAAGTCTGCCGAACTAAAACGACGTTAGACGATGCACGGCTTTCAACGCCACACCTCTGTGCCCGTCGGAGTGGGGAGCGTGAGGTTTTTTCGTTACGGAATTTCTGGATTCGGTCCCCGCGCTCAAGGCCCGCGATAGAAGCTATGCAATAGCTTAAAAATATTGTAATATATTAAAAGCTCATAAAAACTTTACATCGATTGGTTATTCTTCTTGGGCCATACGTAAATGTTTCCACTATTTAAATTCCCAATTACGCAATTGCGGGCACTTATCTCGCATTGTGATGACAAAAAAGATGAGCTAAAATATGATAGGTACTGGATATACTCAAAGAATACGACTGCTTAACGCTAGACTTGCATTTGGATACTGAAAAAAGTTCACCTGTTTTGCCAGCCGCATTAGTTCAGGTTTACTATTATTTCACTTATTACAGATGAAAACAATGTAATAATAACAAAAAACTGCGGTTGCCAACCTGTGAGCAAGCGTGGCCACTAAGCCATATATCCCCCTTATGAGGCATTTTATGGGACGCCCTATGTTCAGCAGTGGACTTTTAAAGGCTTGAATGGATTATTTATTCATTATCGATATCAAATAACTCTGACCTATACGACGATAAATAAGATTGACTTAGTTTGTTTTCTTAGTAAATGTAGACTGCTATATGTAGCAGTAAATGTAGACTGCTATATTTAGTAGTCTACATTTACTAAGATGATGATTGATGAGTATTAGATAATTACTAAAAATTACAACACGGCAGATCTTAAAACCGAAATTCAGAATGTTGGTAAAATCCGAACAACGTGGGTGCAAATCTTTCAATTTTTCCTCACTTTTTTCTTTCTTTAATTACGAATTCTTTAAAACGATGACACATGATAAATACGTCGCTATATTTAGTAGGATCCTACTATTCTCAATATTTACCATCCCGTTTTTATTCATCGAAATTCTATAGTTTGAAAACTGAGGCTGTGCTTGCATTTGCAGCCGACTCCTCCCAAGAAACCCCCCAGACGGAACCTGTCAGTGTCACCCACCCACGCCAATTCTCCTTCCTCCGGGTACAGTTACGAGCTGAGGGCCCACGCGAGAAGTCAGGACGATTTGGATGATATACAGGTAAAAAGGCATCCGAGGAATCGTACAGGTTATAGTTAATTAAACGCGCTATTATTTTTCGCTTGTCTGTATATCTGGGAGCTAATGTAACGCAAACATAAAATATCATCATCTCATCATTGAGCCCATCAGCCCGTAAATAGTCTACCTCAGTAATTGGTCCCATAACATCATAGAGGAGGTTTCTACGGATTTGTTGATATAATAAAAATAATTCTTATTTTTTTTTTGTTACAGGGTGCTAAACACTACCTCAAACACGGTCGCTCAGTAGACCAGTACGTGGACGGTAAACTTTCCTACCCCGAGTATGAGGACAATCACAACTCGCCCAGAGTTGTTCCCGTCCCCAATCCCAGACCTAGTCTGAAACACCGTTCCCAACCCGTCGCCATCACGGCTATGTACGAGAATGTCGTCATAAAAGAGCAAAACCCCAGACGTAAACTCAAAAGAAACAATATTGTATCGCCTTATGAAAATCACGAACTCAGAATGAACGATAGCAGAATACGAAGGTATTCGAACCAAGAAAAATCTTCCCTTGAGAGCCTATTAGACGACCAATCCATGAATAGCCCGGGTGAATGTGAACGGTATTATGACAGACATAAAGCTGACATTCCCTTATCACCGACGCATTACGCTCAACCACCCACTCCCGACCATCCACCACCATCAGCAAAGCAAGCCGAGAACAGCATTCACGAAAGGATCAGGCCGCTTAGTCAGGTTAGTCCTGATTGATTTGGTCATCCATAGCATGTATAGGATTTTTTTACACTTTATATGTAGCTGTAGAAGTATGTAAGTCTATTTTACTATGACACCAAAAATAGGCCCTTTAACTGTCTCGATGCATTTTATTAAAGGCAATAAGTAAACGTTCTAATTTTATTGACTATAAGAATAAATTTATTATTAATAAGTAAAGTTTTGTTTTGTTTATTGTTTATATTTCATCTATACGCTAGTAAAGTGCACAAATGACTCCGAACTCTATTTATATTGTATTGAAAAACAGATTCCTATAAATTGTAACAAATTAAATTAGTTTGTAATAAGAAATAATTGGTAGATTACCATAACAAAAATGCATGAGCATGCAATTAACCTACACGTAAAATACCTCTTATTTTATTTTCAATTGCGTTTTAAATATTTCAGCTAATTATGGAGGTTGTAGAAGAGATAAGAATTAGGAAAAAGTCGCAAGGTGACGTCACCAATAGTTAACTTGAAAGCTAACTTCAGGGCATTAAATTTTAAATGTTCTGTGATAAATCGCCGCTGTTTTTAGCCTAGCCCTAGTCTAGCGTGTGGTGCTCTGAACTTTAAATTTATATCTTAAACTTTATATGTGTACATAGTCTTCTTAAGTATTAAGGTGCTATTTGAATAGTATTAAATTTATAATTAGCTCTAAAGAATTATACAAACGTAGTTTTGTTAAAAAGTCATGTATTCCGTGGTAAAAATTTACTACTGAAGCTAAAATGTGAAAACCAATCTAAAGGGAATTTCCAAGTGATGCATAAATGTACTATTTTTTCTATTTTCAATTTTTTTTAAGTATGTCGATGAATTGAATATGTTTTACAGTATCGAAAATAAAGTTCGATATATCACAATATTTATTACTAATATAGTAACAGATTTGACAACTTATGGCAATCTATAGCTTGTATCACGTTTAAGTTTTAACTACAATTTAAGGAACAAAAGAATATTCTGTGGACCAGTATTTTAATATTAAAGTATTATACAACATTGAGAAAAATATATTAATAACCTAAATATACCGCGAAATAAAATAACGGATCTAAAATCTTTCATTCTCTCGTGGACTTGTTGCCGACGTTGTACAATTATGTGTTGACATTAAGAAGTGTATCTTGGAAATATGTTTTTCACACTATATCAAGTTTGCCATAGAAACCTATTTATACACGTGTTAACGAACGCAGATATTCATTTTATGTTAGTTATTAATACCAGCATGACAGTATATTTAGGTTAGTCCGTAAAAGCTGTGTGTTATTGGAATAAGAAAGCATTTTATTTCACAACAATTCGAGTATTACAAGATATTACCTAACTTTTTAATTGAGACTTCGTAAATGGAATTTAGCAGACTGAAATATATAAATATGTGTATATGTCAGGCATTTCGTATTGTTCAAATATATTAATTTAGTTATTTTATTTTAAGGTACATAGATTTTGTATTATTTTCGATTTTATTTAGTTTATGATTTTAATAAAGCTATTATTATTTGTAACTTTTGTTGTTTTATTTTTATTAGCTTTTTATGTTTGTCTTTTGTGTTTTATGTATTGTTTACAATTGCCAAGTGGATATAATGATTTTTTATATTTACGCGAACACTACACATTGAAATGTGGACGTTCTGCACAGCTTAACCTTCTTGGGCCAGCGTGCAACTGTAGAATATGGAACTTGATCAAGATTAACTTTACTCCTAGTTTAAAGCTTAAAATATCTAATTTCAGTATTAATAAACATAGAGTAAAGAGGGAGTAAACTAATTCGAATCTACTCTCGGAATAAAAGTTAATCCTTGGCGGTACCTAATTTAACGACACGTGCCAAGACACGCCAGGTCATCTCTGGAAATAAGATACGCTAATGTTGCTTACAAGCGTGTAACATTTTCATCAACAAATGTCGGCAATATTGCATCAGAATCTCTTTATTCAAAACAAAACGATAATTACTCAATGTATTCTTTACTCAAAAGTAAGTAATAAATAGTTTTAATTGATAACTTGAGCACATAACCGTAGCAACATATCCATCACATGACCTCCCGTCCCGGGTGTGTCTTGAAAGTCTTACGGATAGGACTAGTTCTTACGGATTTTATTGCGTATATTTAACTATAAATACCCGACGTTTCGAGCGCTTTACAGCACCCATGGTCACGGGGGGGGGGGGCTGAGATGTTCGACGTCCAGATGTCATTGTAGATCGGAACAAAAGTTTAAGTTTTACCTATGGTAACCGCGGTTAACTATAACATTTGGACGTGGAACATCTCAGTCCCCCCCCCCCCCCCCCCGCCGTGACCATGGGTGCTGTAAAGCGCTCGAAACGTCGGGTATTTATAGTTAAATATACGCAATAAAATCCGTAAAAACTAGTATTCTTTCCATGCCAAGTGGATAATTTGAAATTTATACAGACGTATTAACAACCGAAGATCACACAATAATTTCATGACTGTGTTATAAAGCATTCTCTATAGGTTCATCAGAGTTCATAAGCAATTCGTGTAGGTTAAGTTTTTTTACATATAGTTTTATTTTAAAAAAGGTGTCATAATAAATCATAACCTTTCATCGCTTTCATCATTCGTGTTGCGAACGTATTGATGGCTTTGTTACTTATGAGCAGAATTGATGTCCTATTAAGAGGGAAATCAATGAGTCAATCAGAGAAGGTCCGAAAATTTTAAGAAAACAAATTATAAATTTGATATCAGAAATTAAGCGATCTTATTTTGTTTAATTATATTTTTAGTATTTGGAAGTTATTAACTTATTATTAATAGTTATTATATTTAACTTTATTTTAATTTTGTGTATTTTTTCTTTGTTAATCCGTTTTAGTTTCTAAGTTTGCCTTTTTATTGTTTATTGATATACATTCTGCAAATTTTGCTGTCATTTCGGTCACAGTAAGGTAAGAATGAATAGAAGTAGAAGACCAAAATTTATATAAGCTAGAGAAAGACCTCCTAATTCATAGCTTTAGCCCTACTACAAAAGGGGATGTAAAACAGTAGATACCTTCGGTCAGGCATTTGAGGAGAATTTTGATTTTATACAAGACCAAGTGGTAAAATTAAAAATTTTGTACAACCGACTTCAATATAATTAAAATAAGAACATCATCAATGTATTCGAAGTGAATTAAATACGTATTATTAAAAATAACTCAAAAACTACTGGTCAGATCTTGATTTATGTGGAAACAGCAGCACCAGCTTTCAGGTAAAAAAAGAATCATCAAAATCGCTTTACCCAGAGAAAAGTTATGAGGTAACTAACACACATTAAAAAAACATTCAGTCGAATTTAATACCTCCTTTTTTAAAGTCTGTACAAAAACCGAAATACACATCGTTTGGATAACTTACTTATCACAAATAACTGATGGCATTTTTAATGAAGTCAAAGTTAAGAAAACACACGACCTGATCACATTTGATGTCATTGTGGTTCAGAGATACATTTCTGATGAAAAATCATATAATGAACCGTTTTGAAATAATTTGTGTATCCAGTTATGATCATCCTTTAAAATTCCGCCTCGTTAACATCCTTTGCGTTCGTCCCGATACTAAGTGATACTTTATGGTGGCACATCACCTGGTGGTGAGTGTCCACAAACATTTTTCCTTAAGATTTTTATAAACAAACGAACATGCGGCTTACTTGATGATAAGTTGCCGTTGCCTGCCTTTTAAAATTTTAGTTCTCAGGATCAGGAGTAAAAACACATCTGCATCTTCATTGCATTTGTTTATTTATTTACACTCTTCTGCTTACACCTTAACAAAAGGGTTACAGACGGCGGACTTAATGCCTTATGACATTCTCATTGAAATAATACTAGTTTTTACGGAATTTATCGCGTATACGAGGGTGGATTGAAAAGTACTCGGCCTAACCAAGAAAATAAACACATACTAAATCAGTTATATTTTTATTTTTCTACATAATCACCATCAAGTTCAATACACTTTTGCCACTTCCCCTTCCAAGCATTTAGACCGTTGAAAAAAAAAATGATTCTTCCTTAGAGTCAAAATATGCGTCTACAGCTGCTTTGACCTCGTCGTTTATCGAAAATCTTTGACCTCCCAAGTGCTTTTTTAGGTTAGGGAACAGAAAGAAGTCTGATGGTGCCAGATCAGGTGAATACGGCGGGTGCGGTAACAGTTCAAAGCCACAGTTGTGAATTGCAGCCATTGACTGTACTGACGTGTGAACACGGGCGTTATCTTGATGAAACAGGACTTTTCTTCTGAGCATTCCTCGACGTTTTTCTTTTATTTCCTCTCGTAAACGACGTAGTAAGGTGCAGTAGTAATCAGAGTTTATAGTCTGACCCCTTTCAAGATAATCAATCATAATCACACCTTTCGAGTCCCAGAATACTGAAGTAAATATAAGAAATCATTATTATGACATTCTCTCCCAGTCAACACTGAGCGTGGTGACATTTATATTAGAAAAGAAAACGATGACTTTAGGCTATTATTTTATTTTTCAAATTGCATCTTATCACATTTTAAAATATATTTTTAAAGCTGTTCTGCGTTATCGGTTGGATACTAACAAATTTTAAATATTTGAGACCGAGCTGATAGCCAACTATAAAATATCTTGAAAATTATTACGCCAGCAGGTACGTCTTCGTAGAAGCCTGCGCCCAACAGCGGACAAATAGGATGTTAATAAAGAAGACAAGAGAAAAATTGTCGAGCTTCTGGCTATCGATAGTCATTATCAACTTTATAAGTCAATTTTTAACATTAAATATCTGGTCCTCTACTTTTGGCCAAGTTCCCTCTCATTCAACTGATCATTTCAATCATGAAATTGGTTAGACATTTTTCCCAGTAGTTTCTTCCTTTTAAATCCTTTTAAAGATTTGAAAACTCACGCCATCTAAGTCAAAAGATTAATAATATCTTGTTTGAAATTCTAAATTCATAGTTCATTATAAATTTAAAGTCGTAAGCAATGTGCTGCCCTCTATGTTTTTTTGCTTTGTCTTTTTTGTCATATGAGTTTTGTCGTGATGCCACGACCAAAATGAATGCTTCACGGATTGCACACAATGTCACTGAAGTGTATATTCCAGGTACCGCAGTCACGCTCGGTGTATTTTTCGCTTCCGTTATGGTAATACTGATTTCAAGAACGGGCCCCGTAGATGACCGGAGACTAAAGTCGATAACAACGAATTGAAAGCTGTTGTGGAAGCAGATTTATTTTAAAGGATTTCAGAGTAGACAAAAACCTGCAACGTAAATTACTAAATTATATTGATTAACTTGCGCCAAATTAAGTTAATTGATGAGCTCTGAGAGCGAATATTGTAATTCAATGAATTACAAAAGAAAACTTCTATCAAAGTTTTAGTCGGTTCTAAAATCAAGCGATGTTCAATCGGAGTTTCAGTTGTAATAAAAAGTTGATTT